ATTAGAACCGTGTCATTAACCGTATTTTGCTATCAAGAGAAACTAAAGCAGAGCAAGGTGATGCAATTTAGCAGGGTTACAAAGAAAGCAGTAGGATTAGGAGCAGAATGTGAGTTTTGCCTTTTTAGCTCCCCAATTCATCAGAAGGCCAGCCATCTGAGACAAGAAGTTATGATTATGTCTCAGGTAGATTTGTATTTCTAAGATGCAAATACCATGGTGTGGGTTTATGCTATTGGCCTTTCAAGGGTGTTTTGACTCTACAGAAACTTTTAGACACTATGGGGAAATACTTATAGGAAAATGAAAACTTCTGAGTTTTCTCAGGATTTTACTCCCACTTGAGAAGATGTGGATGCTCAGACAGTAAAGAATTCAGAGTCTCAGGACACTGGTGTCTGGTGTCTCCCCCTCTYACTTAAGTTTATTTATACCACATACTTCCCTCCTCCAGATCTAAGATACCAGACTTGATGCTGGACCACTGGTTTGTCTAGATTTCTAACACCAGAATGAACTCATAAGAATAGATGAGCATTTGTGACCTTTTATTTGGCAGCAAGCACGTTTTAAGGATCAGTGTCTTGTGGAGTAGTTACAAAGCCAAGAAGGCAATACCATTAATTTTCAGCCTCCCGTTTAAGCCATATATTAATTATGCTTTGCTTTACTTCCTACCTTAAATATATGTGAAAATTTTTCATCATTCCTCATAAGTCAGTACCTTCAATGCTGAATTTTTAAAGGAAAATTTCTCTTGCATTGCTGGTGCAGTAACCTTCTAGTACTGAGGGCCTTATATGAAGCAGTCTTTTGTTTTAATGATTTAAAAAAATCTCTTAAGATCCTTTACCCAGGACTTTTATGGGCAAGTAGCTTTCTGCTCTGGGAATGTCATCTCCATTACTAACTGCAAAAAATAATGCTTATGTATCCCACACCAATACTGAAACATAATCACAACAGGAATACTGGTTAGATATTAGACACTGAGCATAGTAAGAGAGACACACTGAATCTTCARTAATTGTCAGGAGAATGTAGCTTACTGAAAACACATCTTGTTTCACAGGAACACAAAATTTATAATTTAGTGCTAAAAGGGAAGAAGAAACACAGCCAAACATTCTTTACACTGATAAGGCATCCTACATTCCTACAGCTTTTAAAGGCATTACATTGAAAAGGAAACACATTTTGTATGCACATACAGGACTTCCAGCCATAAAAACACATGAACTGTCATCATCCATGTTACATTACCAATATCTCACTTACCAGTGCTTAAAAGGTGACTGTTAGATTGACCAAACTCCCTTAATTTGTAATTTTTCTAGTTATGCACCCCGACCTATTAAGTGGGCGCACCTTGTACCCTTCCCATTAAAAGACTCCCCTGCAATACATTTCCCCAAATCAGTGCACTCAAACTCCTACAGAAATTAYCCAACAGCATGAGCTGACTTGGAAAAAAGTCTGCCTTGCTGTGAAAGAAGAATTACCCCACCAGAACTATCCCCCTCACGGCTTTCTTTTTTTTTYYTTTTTTTTTWATTTACTTTTTAATGGAAGCAAAAACCCCTATCATCTCACCTACTCCTCTTTTAATAAGGAATGACTGCCGTGACTACCCCCATCTAGAACCACCATTCACTGCCAGCACCTCTGCTCTCCTCGTGTGCTTAGAGAATAACTGATTAGCACTTTGCATAATTAACCTGATTAGCACTGTGCATAATCAAACTGATTAGCACTTTGCATAATTAAAAAGAAATAATAATAATAACAATAATAAGCAGTAGGTAATAGCAAAAGCTGCTAGTCCCAATGCCTGTTCGTTAGCTCTAGGATTAGTTTAGTGTGGCATATTTTATTTCTTAAAACTATTCCTTTAAAGATGCATAAGCTCCTGAGAGGTATAGGTTTAAAAATTCTCATTTACTATCAAGATCACTAGTGGAAAAAAATTAGCTGTTCCACTACTACAACTTAGGATTTCCTGTGTCTCCCACTGCTGAAGCTGAAGACGTTTAGCAGGATGGATTCCTGATCTGATGGACCAGGGTCTGGTTCCCATATTTGTCTACAGTACTGCTATTGGATTCATCAACACAGGATACAGAAGTCTTACATTTTTTAATGCATACATATGCTTGCAATGTAATTCAACAGTAGGAAAGCTCTAATATTGTTATTATTGTTGAGATGGGTAAGGTAGCAAGATGCGTATCCTCAAAAGCAGGCAGGCACTGAATTCTCTCCTGCCCTGAACAATTCCTCCAGACCACAGGAAGCAGGGGAAGGAAATGGAAATAATCAGATCCCTGCCCCTAAGTCTGCATTGCTTGCCCCCCATTTGAGAATCACTTATCTGTATATACATTTTACAACCTCATGTGAGAGACAGAATGTACTTTGTTTGCTAGCCTGTCCCATTTCTGGTGTAAATCTCCCAATTAGGRTTCCAGGATTAACAACCACTTCCCAAAATCTGAAGAATGTGCACAACTACACCTACCTAGATTGTAAATTCTCTCTAAACATCCATCCACATTAAATGCCTGCACCACAATTCAGCTCTCCTGGACATTCAATACCAGAAAGCCTGGAATAGTGTTGCCCCAAGTGAGCCAGTAAAGAACATGGCCTCATCCCTTCCAAGTCACCAGGAATATCCCATGTTACTCCTCACTTTAACCTCATCTCTCTAGCACCATTATATTACAGCTCAGATTTCCTTTGCAGTCCTCACAATCTTCTCCTTACACATCCCACTATGCCTTCAAGAGCACCTGAAACATCCACTGCCAAATCTCCATGACATCCTCACAATCACCCTGCCCACATTTCTCACTGATATCTGCTGACTGCTCAACCAGGGTTTTTGGGACACTGRGCAGCTGTGGGGTCAGCTTGTTCTGAGTGATCAACCTGGCTTTCTTTAGCTGTTCAGGAAGGAATCAGTGCCCAGACTGCACACACTGCTCAGATGCAGCACACTGCATGAACTGGTCCTACAACTGTGGCAAAAATAATCCCACTTTGACCAAGCTTCCTTTGTAAGCTCTCTCTCATAAAGTCAGCCAGTGTGAAACTGAGGGGTGGAAATGGCAATAAAAGATAATCTTACCATAATTAGCTGGAAATGAACTACCAATGCACAGAGGTCTCTCCATCACCCCAAGCTAAAGAACCCRTATGAACAACAAAGGGTGCAGAGCTAGTTACTCCACAAGTTGTTTAGTTTCAGTAAAAAAGTGTTGCTGTAGAGATTTCTCAAGTCCAAATGTTCCTGGGGAAGGTAGTTCCACTAATTCTGGGAAGRAAGCCAATTCCTTGGCTTTATATGTAAATATTTAAACAACATTGTRTTTATACACATATATTTTATACACATATACATATATGTCTCTAGACTTCCAGACATGCAAAACTGCAACAGAAAAAAATAGGCAAGTTAACATAGAGCTATTGTCTCTGCCTGAAATCATGATAACTGACCATCAGAACAAAATACAACACTTCAAGATAATGGAGCCATGTCACCTCTGTGTACTAGTCCACCCAAACAGAAGTGCTGAAACAGCAGGAGTTGAAATTCAAAAGGTAGAGAGAGAAAAGTCAGATTTCATCTCCTTAGAAGTGACAAGAAAATAAGGTTTATCTGTTTTAAATCTTTCAGAGCCCAGATGGATATAAGTGCTCCATCCACAGGTGTGGAATCMCCAGCTTTGGATGACACAAAGATTCACACTCCGAGAATTTTAGTGTTATGACACCTGACAGTAAAGGTGCAACTCCATGTTTAGAAAGGTCACTGCTGCTTAAGGTTTAAATCAGGTCCATACCTCAAAAGGGATAACTTGGCAGAAAATGCAAGTGAAAGAATGGAAATGCAGCTGGCACTGAGATTTGGTGAATAAATAAAATGGGGGAAGAAAAAAAGCTTTAGAATTGTTAAGGAGGGGGTTGATAAGATGGAGGAAGATGATTTAGTGAGAAAAGGTATCCAGTCAGAGCATRCAATGAATAAATCAATCTATGAAAATAAAATTTACCACATGAATTCCGCCTCTCTCTACCCGGTAAGCAGAAAACACACCCTAGTATAAGGTACATGTGTGTAAATTTACATGATTTAAAGAAAGAAAATACTTACGAATACAATATTTACATGTCTGTATGCATAGCACAGCCAGTGAGTTTTAAGAACACAGATGTGCACATACATAAAAAAMCACACAGAAAATAGGACCAGGAGTAGGGCAAGCCTTTTAGAAAATATTTTAATGGCTTTATAAAAAGCTTTCACCCAAGTTTGAGGGGCTTTTGCAATCTTACATTTTTCTATTGCAAAATACACCTGCTTTCTTCTCTTTTTTCCCYCTAAACTAAATATTTCTTCCATCTAATGACTCTCTTTATTAGACAGCATCTAATTTGCATACATTTACATACAATTTAACTGCTAGCTTGTGAGAACAAAGAAATGGCTCTGTATTGCACTGAAGGACAATACCCAGAAAGGAAGGTATAAAAACCAGCTAGCTCGGTGGCTGTATATTCTCTTTGTTTCAGAAATACTAGGAGTTTTAAACACACTACTTAAAGGGTGAAAAAGATTATTTCATCAAACAATGGAAAAAGATACAGTGCAGCTTCCTTTTAACGCATTCTCTCTCTGGCCTGGTTAATGGGATTTAAGGGTCCAATATTTCTTTGCTTTCTTCTGTTTCTTTTATTAGAACTGATGGATTTAATTCTGTCACATATTTTACTTCATATTTTATTCCTATAACAATCTATGCTGAAGTTCAGCTCCAATGCTAATTCAATACTATCTTCCTTTCCCTGCAGTCAGCCTGGAATACAACGGCACGATCTCTGATGGGCATGAAGTACTCTGCCCTCAATGCCCAGTGCTAATGGATTTCAGGGAGAGTCTGCCAGAGTTTTACCTCGTGGCAACAAGTCCAGAGATAATGAAAACTTACCATGTAGCTGACTGGGAATCAACAGGAAGGGAAGCAGGGCTGAGCTCCRCTTGTGAGAACAGGGAGGGACTGTGGTCAGAGTAAATGCAGGATGTAAAGGATGCGTCAAGCCCTCTAGTTCCCTGSGGAGAGAGGGAAGAAAAAGAGGAGAAAATCATCTTTTAAGACCTTGCATGAAGGAAAACCCTTTAGAAACAATTGCCAGGAACTCCAATATATGCCCTACCAAAAGCATGATACCATCAGCAAATCATTTTTTTCCAAAGGCTTTGCAGTCAGGATACCAACTGCTCCAGACAGCTACAAATCTAATCCATGTAGATTTGACATAAAAACCTGGCAGGAAATAAAACATTTCAGGCTGCATGCTGCAGATGCCTACATCCTCTCATATGTGTAAAACCTAGGGATACAGAGCAGTCTTCCTGTTTTGTCCTGCCTGACCAGCAGAGCTGCTAGCTTCACTTCTGAATTCTCCTCTTCCCAACATCAAACCCAGTGACTTGGGMAGAAAAATTAGAGCATCACCATTCAGTGGCACAGGGATGGGTGAAAGATGACCCAATCACTCTGGTGGCATGTTCTAAGAGCCTATTCTACCAAAATGCTACAAGAAAAACCTTTTCTGATAATAATAGACCTATTGCAATGGAATGGAACGGAATAGGACTCTTCTTGTTGAAAAGCACTCGGCCAACTCAGCTTGCACACAAAGTAGAATTCAGGACTCAGCAGTCTCTGCTTTCTCTGTTCAGTTTGCCCCAGCCAGCCCCGTGGCCTGGGGTACACTGGCTTTATGTGATCAGCACAAGGCCAAGTGTGAATTCCATGGGCATTCTCACACCAGCGTGAGTGGCACAGTAACACTGACTGATGGTGCAGGAGCCACATCACGAGCTGTACACACAAGAAACTTGTGATGGTACTGCCCTGATCTGACTCACTGGCACTCAAAACACATTATAGATTATTTTCAGATGCAAATTTTAAYTTAAAGCTGGCTGAGATGTTAATGAAGTTTTAGCTCTTTTTCAAAGGGGAAAATTCCCTACCACTTACAAAAATGTTTTCCTTTTTTGTTTTCTCCCCTCTGCCTGATKGGYTTCTAGTGACATACARCAACAAAAMCKCATAAAWTAAATTAATTCATTCAAGCCTTCAYAKAATTTTCCCTTTTCAAGGGTGGAAAGGTYGAGGTGTGTGATCTTCAGCATTTCTCACGTGTACCAAAATGATGTCTTAGAAAACAGTGGAGGAAGGAAATTCCAAAGCCACAGTTCCTCTGATTATCACAGCCTGTGCCCACAGCTGTATCCTGCTGAAACCACTGGGTTATCATTTCCAGAACCTCACAAGCATGGCTGTGTTATGATGTAAGCTGATTTTAATTGGAGCTGTCACAATCCCACCCTTCCCTCACCTCCTTTCTCTCCTTGCCACATGTCCCAAGTCCATCCTTGAGCCAGGACTGCATAAGTGCCTGGTTCAGGGAGCTTTCAGCTGAAAAAAGGCTTTTTGCCCGTGTGTTTTCAGCCACATCAAACCCTTGTTGCTCAAGATCCAGGCAGTAAAATTGGGGGTTAGAGCCAGGGAAGCAGAAGAACAGTTCAAGTGGAGGAGAGGCAACAGAGCAGCGTCAACATTGATTAGCTTAAACTAATCAATGGATTAGCTACATAACGTGGACCTACATCTTGTGATGTCTAAGGTTGCTTTGGTGTGACACAGAAGAAAGGCTCTTATCACACAGCTGGAAGCCAAACCAATCACAGCTTTATAGGTAAAAATGACCCCACCTCACACGCTAACCTAAAATAAACTGCCGGGCTACGCAGATTGTACAGAACAGATGCAGTCTGCTTCTGATGAAAAATAGCTTGAGATAATGGTGCACTGCTACAATCTGCACCAGGGGCATTTTCCAAGTGGCAGGTTGAATTAGCCTCAAGTGACACGCATTAGAGTAACACTTCCCTGAGGCAGTAAGGCAAGGTCCCACATTCACATGGAAAGAATTGAGCATTCTTGCCAAAGGCAAAAGATAAAGTGTGTGATTAAGAACCACTGTTGCCAGAACATGGTGAAGCTCCTGAAAAAATCTTTCAAGGACTTCAGAAAATACACCTGGAAATAAAGARCAGGAATTTTCCTTTACATCTCTGCAGCTACCATACCACACATCTCTTGTGCTACTTTCCAGAGAAGCAGCATCAGTTCTGTCCTGCTAGAAACCAACTTTCTAACCCTGAGTTCTAAAACCACTCAGCCCAAACAGTTATGTGTATCTGGATTTCAGCTGAATGCAGAAGACACTTAAGTTCCCTTCCTTTTGCTTCCCTGCTCTAGGGAATTGGAACATTTTACATCCTACAAGAGGGATCCTTTGGTGGTAAGGAATCACCTGACACCACCATCTACAATATCTTCAGGAGAAGGAATCACTAAGGAAGAGTTTCACTAGCCAGTTAGCACCCACAGGTGATTCACCAACTTTGGAAATTACTGAACTGAGAAAAAGAATCAGAGCAGACACCTGATCTTCACCTGCTTCCATCAGTTCAACAACCCATACCCACCTTTTCCTTACAGCAATTAGAATTTGTATCGCTGCATTACTACCAGACCTCAAGGGCAGGACACCAGACCAGGCTTAAGAACTGGTGACCTTTTTTGTTCAGCAATAAAAAAAAAACATGCTTTCCAGCATACATAAGTCTGAAGCAATGACATGCACACAACTATTATTTTTCATTCCAGTCTTCTACACACTCTCAAGATGGCTACAGTTATTCTGTCCAGCATGGGCAGCTGTGCAGGTTGTTACACAAACCTATACATGTTCAAGTTAYGCAACCCCTGGAACAAGAGGCTTGGCTGGTTTCCCCAACAGAAAATTCCCGTTTTCCTTCAGCTGCCTCTAAGATACAGCAGTTACCATTACAACCCACTTGTGCACATTTTCTTCCTGTGGTGTCACTGAATATATTTCTCTGTAAAATAACTGTCRATTGGAAAACATGCATATTTAAATATCTACATGATAACATATATATRCACACACATATGMAATACCTAAGCCAACACCTGCTTGATTGCATTAATTTTACTCTTTTCACATTACAACAGGTGCCCACATCAGTTTTGACTGTCTTTAAAACAGTGACAGGAATCTAAAATTTTAAATTACGCCAATATTTGAATACTTTCTATTCAAGTGCTCTTGATCAGTTTAAAAGTATTGCCACAGCACCAGCCTCAAATTTTATCTTCACTTTAACAATTCTTGGAGCTTAAAGTAGGTTAAGCAAATTGTTCATCAGATCTTTTCCTTTCTTTTGTTGTGGTATATTCTGTTGAAACTGAGATGAAAATGTAAAAGCTGGTTTAGGTAGAAGAATAATTCACTGCAGAGGAACTCCTGTTGCACTTAGTTAAATTCTGGCATTTAACACGTTTCCCTTTTTGTACGTATGGATGGGATTATCCAAAGAAACAAGGGTGTGGTTCTCTTTCTATTCAACTCATGGCAAAAAAAAAAAAAACCCAAGCTGAATCCACTGGCAGCATATTCAGACCAGTTTCAAGCATTTTTTAAATTCCCCCTAGTTCCCAACCTGCTCAGAAAGTGAGCATAAATAAATAAACTTCCACCACCTTATGCCCTGGAAGCAACATGCACAAACTGCAGTTTGTGCAGCTCTGTCAAATTAAAGATACTGAGAATTCCCTTTTAAATACAAACAATATTTCKGAAGTTAGTAAGTTCTCTCCAACATTCACTTTGATCTGATAAATTATATTAGATACAATTTGCCTCAGCAGCATTTTAAAGCACGACAGCTAGAGCACGAGCAGGTCATTTCCACCAYAGAGCATGCAATCTCCTGGGTTGTGTAGCCAGCCTGGATTATGTATGCAGGCCCACACTTCCCCAGATAACAAAATTACCCGGCTTGCACTCCAAGCCAGTCAGAAACGGTGGAGTTGCAGATAGCAAAGTCAAGCCCGAGCCAATCAGTCCTGCWAAGCAGCTGCTATCTCAGTTGCTTATTAGTTCACCAGTACACTGGCCATGACCAAAGGCTTCAGATGGGCTTACAGTATGCACAGAACAAAATTGTCTCTGCTTTCAAATGCCACCGAAACACGACCGTGAATGAACACTATCAAACGGTGGAGGTAGGAGAGAAATCTCTTTTAATTTTCTCAAAACATTATTWTTTGAACACTGAAGAGAAAATCCTTACTCCTGAATAGTTTATAATAACAGAACCATGCTGTTTACTGGCAGAATGCTAAGTTTCATTTTCAGCAGAAAAAAAATTGTATAATAATTTTTCCTGATTTAGATGGGGTTTAGGTCAACCTTAGCTACATACAAATGAATGTTTTGTTCAAATTAAAGGGTAATTTTAATTAGGGCACCCTGCTAGACATCCTGTTGTTCTATTTAATGGACTTTCTCAATTATGAGAAGAAACACCTCCCCACCCGCCTGCGACTTAAAGTAAAAATTATGCTGAATAAATATACAAAGACAAAAATTATTATTCTGTATTAGATCTTTTTATTTCTGTTAATCTTTATTTGGCAACTGCTGTATCAAAAGGGCAGAGTTCAGAATCCCACACCCATTAAACACCTGTTTAAAAACCACTTGAAGCACCGGAACCAGCCAAATATGTCCCAATTAAGCAGAAACGTTGGCACTGCTGTCTCGGGTAAGGAACACCCATTGCCATTTGCTCTCATTAGGTTAAATGGGTTTCTTGGGACATAGCTGAATTCCTGATTATGTGCATTGCAAATGGATGGAGAACACCAGAACAATAAAATTTAATTCAGCATAGCCTTCTGTCCAGTTGTCRAGCACAGAATTTTGGGAAAAGCAAAAACTGAAGCTTTGGGAAGTGGATGAGAGTTACRTGTGCTAAGCATGCATGAGACAGCTCACACTTTCAAGAAACTGCCTGSTCAATGTAACAGAAAGAACTGGGTTTTGATTTCTTCTTGAAAATGCTCTGAGATTTAGAGTCCATTTCATTTTTGTTAGCATCTCCTCCTCTGTACTTTGCATTAGTTTGACTCCCTTCACTTCTTACTTAAGAGTATAATACAGCAT